GTGTCTTATTCCCCCTGTAATATCTTATTACAGTAACCCGGCTCCCGAGTGTCTTATTCCCCTGTAATATCTTGTTACAGTAACCGGCTCCCGAGTGTCTTATTCCCCCTGTAATATCTTATTACAGTAACCCGGCTCCTGAGTGTCTTATTCCCCCTGTAATATCTTATTAGAGTGTCTTATTCCCCCTGTAATATCTTATTAGAGTGTCTTATTACCCCTGTAATATCTTATTACGGTAACCCGGCTCCCGAGTGTCTTATTCCCCTGTAATATCTTATTACTGTAACCCGGCTCCCGAGTGTCTTATTCCCCTGTAATATCTTATTACGGTAACCCGGCTCCCGAGTGTCTTATTCCCCCTGTAATATCTTATTACAGTAACCCGGCTCCCGAGTGTCTTATTCCCCTGTAATATCTTATTACGGTAACCCGGCTCCCGAGTGTCTTATTCCCCTGTAATATCTTATTACAGTAACCCGGCTCCCGAGTGTCTTATTACCCTGTAATATCTTATTACAGTAACCCGGCTCCCGAGTGTCTTCTTACCCTGTAATATCTTATTACAGTAACCCGGCTCCCGAGTGTCTTCTTACCCTGTAATATCTTATTACAGTAACCCGGCTCCCGAGTGTCTTATTCCCCCTGTAATATCTTATTACGGTAACCCGGCCCCCGAGTGTCTTATTCCCCCTGTAATATCTTATTACGGTAACCCGGCTCCCGAGTGTCTTATTACCCTGTAATATCTTATTACAGTAACCCGGCTCCCGAGTGTCTTATTCCTCCTGTAATATCTTATTACAGTAACCCGGCTCCCGAGTGTCTTATTCCTCCTGTAATATCTTAATACAGTAACCCGGCTCCCGAGTGTCTTATTCCTCCTGTAATATCTTAATACAGTAACCCGGCTCCCGAGTGTCTTATTCCCCCTGTAATATCTTATTACGGTAACCCGGCTCCCGAGTGTTTTATTCCCCCTGTAATATCTTATTACAGTAACCCGGCTCCCGAGTGTCTTATTCCCCCTGTAATATCTTATTACAGTAACCCGGCTCCCGAGTGTCTTATTCCCCCTGTAATATCTTATTACTGTAACCCGGCTCCCGAGTGTCTTATTCCCCTGTAATATTTTATTACGGTAACCCGGCTCCTGAGTGTCTTATTCCCCCTGTAATATCTTATTACAGTAACCCGGCTCCCGAGTGTCTTATTCCCCTGTAATATCTTGTTACAGTAACCCGGCTCCCGAGTGTCTTATTCCCCCTGTAATATCTTATTACAGTAACCGGCTCCTGAGTGTCTTATTCCCCCTGTAATATCTTATTAGAGTGTCTTATTCCCCCTGTAATATCTTATTAGAGTGTCTTATTACCCCTGTAATATCTTATTTACGGTAACCCGGCTCCCGAGTGTCTTATTCCCCCTGTAATATCTTATTACAGTAACCCGGCTCCCGAGTGTCTTATTCCCCTGTAATATCTTATTACGGTAACCCGGCTCCCGAGTGTCTTATTCCCCCTGTAATATCTTATTACAGTAACCCGGCTCCCGAGTGTCTTATTCCCCCTGTAATATCTTATTACAGTAACCCGGCTCCCGAGTGTCTTATTCCCCTGTAATATCTTATTACGGTAAACCCGGCTCCCGAGTGTCTTATTCCCCTGTAATATCTTATTACGGTAACCCGGCTCCCGAGTGTCTTATTCCCCTGTAATATCTTATTACAGTACCCCGGCTCCCGAGTGTCTTATTCCCCCTGTAATATCTTAATACAGTAACCGGCTCACGAGTGTCTTATTCCCCCTGTAATATCTTATTACGGTAACCCGGCTCCCGAGTGTCTTATTCCCCCTGTAATATCTTATTACTGTAACCCGGCTCCCGAGTGTCTTATTCCCCCTGTAATATCTTATTACGGTAACCCGGCTCCCGAGTGTCTTATTCCCCTGTAATATCTTATTACGGTAACCCGGCTCCCGAGTGTCTTATTCCCCCTGTAATATCTTATTACAGTAACCCGGCTCCCGAGTGTCTTATTCCCCCTGTAATATCTTATTACTGTAACCCGGCTCCTGAGTGTCTTATTCCCCCTGTAATATCTTATTACAGTAACCCGGCTCCCGAGTGTCTTATTCCCCTGTAATATCTTATTAGAGTGTCTTATTACCCCTGTAATATCTTATTACTGTAACCCGGCTCCCGAGTGTCTTATTCCCCCTGTAATATCTTATTACGGTAACCCGGCTCCCGAGTGTCTTATTACCCCTGTAATATCTTATTACGGTAACCCGGCTCCCGAGTGTCTTATTCCCCCTGTAATATCTTATTACAGTAACCCGGCTCCCGAGTGTCTTATTCCCCTGTAATATCTTATTAGAGTGTCTTATTACCCCTGTAATATCTTATTACTGTAAACCCGGCTCCTGAGTGTCTTATTCCCCTGTAATATCTTATTACAGTAACCCGGCTCCCGAGTGTCTTATTCCCCCTGTAATATCTTATTACGGTAACCCGGCTCCCGAGTGTCTTATTCCCCCTGTAATATCTTATTACGGTAACCCGGCTCCCGAGTGTCTTATTCCCCCTGTAATATCTTATTACAGTAACCCGGCTCCCGAGTGTCTTATTCCCCCTGTAATATCTTATTACAGTAACCCGGCTCCCGAGTGTCTTATTCCCCCTGTAATATCTTATTACAGTAACCCGGCTCCCGAGTGTCTTATTCCCCTGTAATATCTTATTACGGTAACCCGGCCCCCGAGTGTCTTATTCCCCCTGTAATATCTTATTACAGTAACCCGGCTCCCGAGTGTCTTATTCCTCCTGTAATATCTTATTACGGTAACCCGCCCCCGAGTGTCTTATTACCCTGTAATATCTTATTACGGTAACCGGCCCCCGAGTGTCTTATTCCCCCTGTAATATCTTATTACGGTAACCCGGCCCCCGAGTGTCTTATTACCCTGTAATATCTTATTACAGTAACCCGCCCCCCGAGTGTCTTATTCCCCTGTAATATCTTATTACTGTAACCCGGCTCCTGAGTGTCTTATTACCCTGTAATATCTTATTACAGTAACCCGGCTCCCGAGTGTCTTATTACCCTGTAATATCTTATTACAGTAACCGGCCCCCGAGTGTCTTATTCCCCTGTAATATCTTATTACTGTAACCCGGCTCCTGAGTGTCTTATTACCCTGTAATATCTTATTACAGTAACCCGGCTCCCGAGTGTCTTATTCCCCTGTAATATCTTATTAGAGTGTCTTATTACCCCTGTAATATCTTATTACTGTAACCCGGCTCCCGAGTGTCTTATTCCCCCTGTAATATCTTATTACGGTAACCCGGCTCCCGAGTGTCTTATTACCCCTGTAATATCTTATTACGGTAACCCGGCTCCCGAGTGTCTTATTCCCCCTGTAATATCTTATTACAGTAACCCGGCTCCCGAGTGTCTTATTCCCCTGTAATATCTTATTAGAGTGTCTTATTACCCCTGTAATATCTTATTACAGTAACCCGGCTCCCGAGTGTCTTATTCCCCCTGTAATATCTTATTACAGTAACCCGGCTCCCGAGTGTCTTATTCCCCCTGTAATATCTTATTACGGTAACCCGGCTCCCGAGTGTCTTATTCCCCCTGTAATATCTTATTACAGTAACCCGGCTCCGAGTGTCTTATTCCCCCTGTAATATCTTATTACAGTAAACCCGGCTCCCGAGTGTCTTATTCCCCCTGTAATATCTTATTACAGTAACCCGGCTCCCGAGTGTCTTATTACCCTGTAATATCTTATTACAGTAACCCGGCTCCCGAGTGTCTTATTCCCCCTGTAATATCTTATTACAGTAACCCGGCTCCCGAGTGTCTTATTCCCCTGTAATATCTTATTACGGTAACCCGGCCCCGAGTGTCTTATTCCCCCTGTAATATCTTATTACAGTAACCCGGCTCCCGAGTGTCTTATTCCCCCTGTAATATCTTATTACGGTAACCCGGCCCCCGAGTGTCTTATTACCCTGTAATATCTTATTACGGTAACCCGGCTCCCGAGTGTCTTATTCCCCCTGTAATATCTTATTACGGTAACCGGCCCCCGAGTGTCTTATTACCCTGTAAATATCTTATTACAGTAACCCGGCCCCCGAGTGTCTTATTCCCCTGTAATATCTTATTACTGTAACCCGGCTCCTGAGTGTCTTATTACCCTGTAATATCTTATTACAGTAACCCGGCTCCCGAGTGTCTTATTACCCTGTAATATCTTATTACAGTAACCCGGCCCCCGAGTGTCTTATTCCCCTGTAATATCTTATTACTGTAACCCGGCTCCCGAGTGTCTTATTCCCCCTGTAATATCTTATTACAGTAACCCGGCTCCCGAGTGTCTTATTCCCCTGTAATATCTTATTACGGTAACCCGGCCCCCCGAGTGTCTTATTCCCCCTGTAATATCTTATTACAGTAACCCGGCTCCCGAGTGTCTTATTCCCCCTGTAATATCTTATTACGGTAACCCGGCCCCCGAGTGTCTTATTACCCTGTAATATCTTATTACGGTAACCCGCCCCCGAGTGTCTTATTCCCCCTGTAATATCTTATTACGGTAACCCGGCCCCCGAGTGTCTTATTACCCTGTAATATCTTATTACAGTAACCCGGCCCCCGAGTGTCTTATTCCCCTGTAATATCTTATTACTGTAACCCGGCTCCTGAGTGTCTTATTACCCTGTAATATCTTATTACAGTAACCCGGCTCCCGAGTGTCTTATTACCCTGTAATATCTTATTACAGTAACCCGGCCCCCGAGTGTCTTATTCCCCTGTAATATCTTATTACTGTAACCCGGCTCCCGAGTGTCTTATTACCCCTGTAATATCCGAATACTGTAACACAGCTCCTGGCTTCGATGATTAGCCAGGCACCTTTTTTGTTTTTTCAGTAACTCAGAAGGCAAACTGTTAATCCATTTGATCTTTCAATTGTATGCAGAAATCTGGAGAAGGAGATTTCACTGGATTTCGGACCACAGGGAGAATTTTCCTACCTCTATGGACAATGTTATGAGCTTTCAACCAGCGAGTGAGTAGATTTGGGTGCTCATGGAATGTCCATTGCTGCTAAATTATGTATATGCTGGTTAATGGCGGACTGTAGGTCATAGCCTGTGTTCAGGAATTGTGGAGATAACATTTTATGTGTAACGCTATCCATTCATTAATCAGTCGCCCTATACAGATCAGGCTTACCTTCAGCTTAGACTAAATAAAAGTAACATTTTCTTGATTTGGGGAGATTTACTAAAACTGGAGCACCCAGAATCTGGTGCAGCTGTGAATGGTAGCCAATCGGCTTCTAACTTCAGCTTGTTCAATTAAGCTTTGACAATAAAACCTGGAAGCTGATTGGTTTCTATGCGGAGCCGCAGCAGACTTTGCACTCTCTGGTTTTAGTAAATAACCCCCATTGCATCAAAAGAATCAAACAGTAATGTCTGCACAGGCAATGACAAACAGAACTCCACTTACTATGACAGCTCTGCTGTGTGGATCATAAAGGTATAGTTGACCTTCACCAAGGAACTTCCTATGCAGGTAAGGGGCATCTGTGGATAAAAACAAACTGTGCCGCTCTGACTAAAGTTGAATAATGTCCTTGCTATAGATATAGGCCATTTACGTACCTCATGAAGCCTGGCTGGCATACTCCCAGAACGTTGCTAGGATGTTGTCAAGGGAGGCCTAGTCATTACTGCTCACCTCCACTATCACAGGAGTGAGCTTTTTCTCCAGTTCAGACCCTTTCACATGCTCTGTCTCTCCCCTGATACAGTAGCTCTGAGCTCAGTGTCTGAGCGCTCACTCTTGTGATGGAGGAGTGACGTGTAGGCCTCACTTAGCAACTTTCTGGGAGTATTCCAGTCCGGCTTCATAAGATACGTAAATGGCTTACGCTTATAGCAAGGACGTTATTCAACTTTAGTCAGTTTTTTTTTTTCTACAGACGCCCCTTATCTGCATAGACAGTTTTCCGGTAAAGGTGAACTAACCCTTTAATACTCGGCTGATGGGTCTGTTGGGCATGCTAGTCTCACAGTAATGTTTGAGTGCATATACAAAATATTGATTAAGAAATGGATTGCTCAGGGAGAAAAAAGAAGCAATGTGTTCACCAGGGTCTTGGCTATTGATTCACTGGAACAGCACAGTATGCACACAGATGCTACCGCTGAACAAAAGGAAGAAAAGTGCTTTCCTCTCTGATGGTATTACCACTATGCCCTAGATCCAGTTCAATTGGAGGGCACCCATCTTTGTCAAGGAAGACAACGATTGGCCTCCTGCAATCGAAGCACGATGGTATTTTCTACATAAAGAAGATTCTACATAAAATATGTGTCTAAAGTACTAATTTTTTAGACAAATTCTTCTAATGGCTTGGACTTTATTCAGACGGGTATTGAAATCCATTGTACATGCAGACCGCCTATAGAGGTGGATACAGAGACAGCCGCATGTCAAAAGTTGACATTCGTGCAGGAACATCTTTCTTTCTTTCCTTCCTTCCTTTCCCTTTTTCCCTTTCCTTTCCCTTTCCCTTTCCTTTCCCTTTCCTTTCCCTTTCCCTTTCCTTTCCCTTTCCCTTTCCTTTCCCTTTTCCTTTCCCTTTTCCTTTCCCTTTTCCTTTCCCTTTTTCTTTTCCTTTCCCTTTTTCTTTTCCTTTCCCTTTTCCTTTCCCTTTCCCTTTCCCTTTTCCTTTCCCTTTCCCTTTCCTTTCCCTTTCCCTTTCCTTTCCCTTTTTCTTTTCCTTTTCCTTTTCCTTTTCCTTTTCCTTTTCCTTTTCCTTTCCCTTTTCCTTTCCCTTTTCCTTTCCCTTTCCCTTTCCCTTTTCCTTTTTCTTTTCTTTCCCCTTTCCTTTCCCTTTCCCTTTCCTTTCCCTTTCCCTTTTCCTTTCCCTTTTCCTTTCCCTTTTCCTTTCCCTTTCCCTTTTCCTTTCCCCTTACCCTTTTCCTTTCCCCTTACCCTTTTCCTTTCCCTCCTTCTATTTTACGCTGTGCTTTACATATATATTGTACATTCACATCAGTCTCAAACTCTCAAGGGGTGTACAATCTAAGGTCCCTAACTTACATTCACACATACACATACTGGGGCCAATTTAGACAGGAGCCAATTAACCTACCAGCATGTCTTTGGAGTGTAGGAGGAAACCAGAGTACCTGGAGGAAACCCACGCAGTCACAGGGAGAACATGCAAAATCCAGGCAGGTGGTGCCATGGTTGGGATTCAAACAAGCGACCCTAGTACTGCCAGGCGGAAGTGCTAGCCATTTAGCCACTGCTGCCCAGATCTGAATGCACACTGCGTCTGTTCAGATCCATGCATCCTTACCTGCATGCATGTCACATTTTGACCTGTGTCTGTGCAGCTACTTTGCATCCCCCTTTGTAGGCTGTCTGCATGCAGCTTGGAGCAGATGCAGGCACAGTAATAGAAACATGGCCTGCACGCATGAGTGTCAACACCTGTTTGAATGAAGCCTTATACCTGCATTATCTACAGATCTTTGTGACCCAGGGTGCAGCTATGTCCAGTTTTTTTTTTTTTTTTTTTTTTTTTTTTTTTTCCTTTTTGTGTGGCCCTAAATGCAGCTCCTTGTATGCTATAGTGCTGCATTTGGATGCCAAAAAACTATATGTTATGCACATCTAAATATCTAAATACAGCATTTTTTTTCTCCGCTTGTGTGAATGAGCCCTAATTTGGTTTAAGCTGATGCAGATGAGCATGATCGGTTATTGAGCAAGCGCTGATGTGATTGTTAGGGCCCTTTCACACCAGCATTCCAATCATGTCCACTTGTCAGTTTTTCAGGCGGACCTTATTGGAAGGTCCATGAAGCCCTATGGACAGGCAGATGTAAACTGTCTTGTGTCTGTTTACATCCGCCTACCTTCATCCAAAATGGAAAAGAATTGCGTCCTTTTCCATTTTTGTGGACTGGATGGGAGGTATACAATATTACTCCAGCAGGTCCTAAAAAAAAAAAAAACTAAGGCTCCTTTCACACAGAGGAAAGTGCAGTCCGATCTGTGAGTGGATACCCTGCTGATCAGAGCCGGACAGTTTGTTGTTTTTTGGGGGTTTTTTTGTTTGTTTTTTTTTACCTGCTGGAGTAATATGTTTCAGTGCAGTTGCTGCCACAAATCTGCATTTTTTTATCTTCCTTTTCTCCTGTGCTGTAAGGAAATATTTTTTATTTGTTGTCATTTTATGTGCATTAGTGCTTGTTTATTGGATAAGGTGTTTAGTTATTGCTATACAGCGGCATATGTGTATTTCACGTTCATGTTGTGCTTCTTCCCAGGTACATTTATCGCCTCTGTCCATTTAACCGTGTAACTCAGAAGCCGAAGGTTGGAGGATCAGAGACTAATTTGGGGTGAGTTTGTGACCGTTGTTCATGGTAGATTTCTATACATGGTTTAACCATTCTGGCTCTATAAGATCAGAAATACTGATGCTTGCTACTGTGAGGATACCCCAAACCTGCCAGCAGAAATCCTGCTATATAAAAGTGAAAACAATGAAGGAGTCCAATGGCATCAACATTTGTATGGCAGTTTTTGAAACAAGAAACGAAAACGTGAAAGTACCTTAACCCCTTGCCCTCCAGAGGATTTAACCCCCCTTCCTGACCAGGCCATTTTTTGTGTTACGGCTCTGTGTTACTTTAACTGACAATTGCACGGTCATGCAACGCTGCACCCAAATGAAATTTACATCCTTTTTTTTTTTTTTTTTCCCACGAACAAAGCTTACTTTCAGTGGTATTTGATCGCCTGTGCGTTTTTTTTTTTTGTTTTTTTTTTTTCGTGTTTTTTTGTTTTTGTTTGTTTTTTTAGGGGGGGGTGATAGGGGTGTTAATTTTTTTGTGCTATAAAAACAAAGACTGACAATTTTCAGAAAAAAAACAATATTTCTGGCTTTTTGCTATTAAACATGTCCAGTAAAACAATTTCAATCAAAGTTAGTCATAAATTTAGGTCAAAATGTATTCTGCGACATGTCTGTGCTAATAAAAAAAAATCCCAATACGTGTAAATTAATTGGTTTATGTGAAAGTTATAGCGTTTAGGAATGGCGGTATATATACTGGGATTTTATTTTATTTTTACTAGTAATGGCGGCGATCAGCGACATATAGCGGGACTGCAGCGGGCATTCTGACACTGGGGGGAACTGACTTGGTGTCAGTGACACCAATACAGCGATCAGTGCTAAAAAAAAAAAAAGCATTGACACTGTACTAATGGGACTGGGCAGGAAGCGGTTAATATGAGGGGCGATCAAAGGGTTAACTGTGTGCTGTGTGACGTTTTACATTATGTTCTGTGTTTGTGCGTCACTGTTTTGTTTACTAAGTTCTCCCCCCCACCCCACCCCTGTCGGAGATCCTCGGCAATCACCGGGCGCTGGCGAGTAATCACCAGCCGGGACCCTGTGATTAACAGTCACGGCCCCCTACTCGGGAATGCAAAATATGTGTGTGTGGCTAAAAATCTATCAAAGTAGATAAATGAGTTATTGCAAAGTGCTAAAGTGCCAATGATCAAAGTAAATAAAATTACAAATAAGTGTCCATAAATGTGACAGTCCGTATTAAGGTGATCATCAATCTTATGCAATATGCTGATAGTGATGTGTCAAAAGGTGTGGTAAAAATACGCACTCACCAGATGCGTATTTTAAATACACATATAAGTTATACAGCCAGAGGTCCCCTAAAGGTGGAACGGATGAAGCAAACCGGATACAGATTCTCCTTCCTCTGGATAATGCATAGCCCTGCGGGTGTCTTCCGAACATATAAAGGTATATTCCTGCCAGAGGTCCTCTTAAGGTGGGATGGGTGTTACAGCCTGAAGTGGAATCTCCCTCCTCTGGATCCTATGTAGTATTGCAGCTATCTTCCAGGATAGACTCTCAGACCGCCTCAGCCGATTCTCTCTTCAAGGGCGTAGACGCCTGGCAGGAATATTCCTTTTATATATTCGGAAGACACCCGCAGGGCTACGTATTATTTAGAGGAAAGAGAATCCGTATCCAGTTTGCTTCATCCTTTCCACCTTTTAAGGAGACCTCTGGCTGTATAACTTGTATGTGTATTTAAAATACGCATCTGGTGAGTGCGAGTGAGTATTTTTGCCACACCTTTTGACACATCACTGAATAATCTATCAGCATATTGCACATTCACACTATTGGCATGTTGGGCTCCCTATAACACATGCATGGAGCACTTTACTCTTTTTTTTTTTTTTTTTATTTAAAGGATACGTTCACCTTTTGTAACAAAGAAACAAAAAATAATAAAAATAAATGCACATCTTTTTGAAGTTAAAAAATGTGCTTTCTCTATTTATTATTATTATTTATTATTATTATTATTATTATTATTATTATATATATATATTTTTTTTTTTTACTAGGAGCCTGCAAAGCATTGCACCAGTGATCAGCAGTTTGTGGGTGCAATATCAGGCTCCTGCAGGCTGTCAGTGTAGCTGTCTGCTCATACGGGGAGGCAGTTAATGAAAAGATGAAGTTCGGTGAACTTACCTAGAGCTCTCAACAATGCCTTGTAGGCTGTCAGCCTCAAAGGTTGTTGGTACTTCTAGTTCTCCAATTCACAGAATTTTGTGAATGAATGATGCGGCCAGGTGGGCGGAGCCCCGCACGGCCCCTTTTTTTTTTTTTTTTTTTTTTTTTTTAAATTGTGACAGTGGGTGTGGGGAGAAGATCCCCGGCCCGCTGTCAAGATTGGGGGGGTGTTTGGCTGCTACAAATGTAACTTGTTACATGTTACACCCTGACTACAAGTGTGACACGTAACCTGTTACAAAAGGTGAACTTGTCCTTTTTAATAAAATTTCCCAAATAACATTTCATGCAGTGCCTTGGTGTGAACTGAACTCCCAGGAAATAGGCAAATATGATGCAAAATGACCTCTTATGCTGCAAATAAAAACATTGATTCTTCTTGAGCATAGTTGGTGAAAATAATTAGTGGTTGTAATTGGCTCATGAGCACCTTCTAGAATATACGTGAATTTTTTTTTTTGCTTCATGTTCACAGCATCTGGAACACCTGGGCCGGACCAGAAAATGATAAATTTAGTGCCATGAAGTACGACCAGGGCACAGGCTGTTGGCAAGGTCCCAACCGGTCCACACAGGTGAGTGTCACTAGGGATGACTGGTGCACATTGGGTTGCTGGCCAATTACATTTCGTATATCATTGCCTGCTGTGACCTAAGTGCAGGGTTTGGCTTCATTACAGGAAAAAGACTCCTAGAAGGTAACAAGCACCATATTTCGTATGCCTGCTCTGCACAGCTATGTAATCACTTTATAAATACAGCCACATAGCAGTTATGTCATCTCCATAGAAGTGCATCTGTCTTGCAGCATTGTAGTCGCCATACACATCCAGCCACGTGGAAGCATTGTACTCAGAATCTTTGGGAACGTATGAGGAGGCATGTTTCCCCCCCTGTGTGTTGTATCATAGCAATCGTGATGAGATACAGTGGCTAAATGGTTAGAGCTTCCACCTGGCAGTACTCGGGTCGCTGGTTCAAATCCTAACCACTGCACCACCTGCCTGGAGTTTGCATGTTCTCCCTGTGCCTGTGTGGGTTTCCTCTGGGTACTCCGGTTTCCCCCCATACCCCAAAGACATGCTGGTAGGTGAATTGGCTCCTGTCTAAATTGGCCCTAGTATGTGTATGTATGATTGTGAGTTGGGAACCTTAGATTGTACACCCCTTGAGGGTTAGGGACTGATGTGAATGTACAATATACAGTGGGGCAAAAAAGTATTTAGTCAGCCACCAATTGTGCAAGTTCTCCCACTTAAAAAGATGAGAGAGGCCTGTAATTGGCATCATAGGTAGACCTCAACTATGAGAGACAAAATGAGAAAATAAAAGCCAGACAATCACATTGGCTGATTTGGAAAGAATTTATTTGCAAATTATGGTGCAAAATAAGTATTTGGTCACCTACAAACAAGCACAATTTCTGGCTCTCACAGACCTGTACCTTCTTCTTTAAGAGGCTCCTCTGTCCTGCACTCATTACCTGTATCAATGGCACCTGTTTGAACTTGTTATCAGTATAAAAGACACCTGTCCACAACCTCAAACAGTCACACTCCAAACTCCACTATGGTGAAGACCAAAGAGCTGTCGAAGGACACCAGAAACAAAATTGTAGACCTGCACCAGGCTGGGAAGACTGAATCTGCAATAGGCAAGCAGCTTGGTGTGAACAAATCAACTGTGGGAGCAATAATTAGAAAATGGAAGACATACAAGACCACTGATAATCTCCTTCGATCTGGGGCTCCACGCAAGATCTCACCCCGTGGGGTCAAAATGATCATAAGAACGGTGAGCAAAAATTCCAGGACCACACGGGGGGACCTAGTGAATGACCTACAGAGAGCTGGGACCAACATTACAAAGGTTACAATCAGTAACACACTACGCCGCCAGGGACTCAGATCCTGCAGTGCCAGACGTGTCCCCCTGCTTAAGCCAGTACATGTCCGGGCCCGTCTGAAGTTTGCTAGAGAGCATTTGGATGATCCAGAAGAGGATTGGGAGAATGTCATATGGTCAGATGAAACCAAAATAGAACTGTTTGGTAGAAACACAACTCGTCGTGTTTGGAGGAGAGAGAATGCTAAGTTGCATCCAAAGAACACCATACCTACTGTGAAGCATGGGGGTGGCAACATCATGCTTTGGGGCTGTTTCTCCGCAAAGGGACCAGGACGACTGATCCATGTACAGGACAGAATGAATGGGGCCATGTATCATGAGATTTTGAGTGCAAACCTCCTTCCATCAGCAAGGGCATTGAAGATGAAACGTGGCTGGGTCTTCCAACATGACAATGATCCCAAACATACCGCCCGGGCAAGGAAGGAGTGGCTTCGTAAGAAGCATTTCAAGGTCCTGGAGTGGCCTAGCCAGTCTCCAGATCTCAACCCCATAGAAAACCTTTGGAGGGAGTTGAAAGTCCATGTTGCCCAGCGACAGTCCCAAAACATCACTGCTCTAGAGGAGATCTGCATGAGGATGGGCCAACATACCAGCAACAGTGTGTGCCAACCTTGTGAAGACTTACAGGAAACGTCTGACCTCTGTCATTGCCAACAAAGGATATATAACAAAGTATTGAGATGAACTTTTCATATTGACCAAATACTTATTTTCCACCATAATATGCAAATAAATTCTTTCCAAATCAGCCAATGTGATTGTCTGGATTTGTTTTCTCCTTTTTTCTCTCATAGTTGAGGTCTACCTATGATGCCAATTACAGGCCTCTCTCATCTTTTTAAGTGGGAGAACTTGCACAATTGGTGGCTTACTAAATACTTTTTTGCCCCACTGTATATGTAAAGCGCTGCGTACATTGATGGCTCTATATAAGTACCTATAATAAATAAAATAATGTTTGATCAGACGAGGACATGAAAATGCCGTATATTTTCTCCCTCCTGCAGGTGAAATTGTTGTGTGGTAAAGAAACAGTTGTCACGTCCACGTCGGAGCCAAGTCGTTGTGAATATCTCATGGAATTCTACACTCCGGCCGCCTGTCAGCAGCCCGCTGAGATCCCCCAATCAGAAGATCACGACGAGCTGTGACCTCATCAGTCCTATAGGTGCCGTACTGTTCTGAGTGGGAGTGTGAGCGGTATATGTTGGTTGTAGTGCAGTGCAATGTATCGGTGTGCCCTTCACAATCAACACACCCCAATGCTCTGCACATACAGCAGGTATATTAGGAAAAACACAAAGGTTTTAGGTCCCTATTTTCATGTAGGTAACATTCCCTGCTGTTTTGGTCCTGCAACGCTTAGCCTTTTCTTGGCCTTGTTTTAGTGCAAAGTTGGCTAGTGTATCCAACACAACAAACACTTTTCTCCTGCGCCAGGAAAGGACCCAGCAGACCCAATAGGAATGTTCTGGAATTTTCTGGAATATGCACTGCTTGCTGCCCTCATATGAAACAGAGTCAGCAGTGTTGCCTTAAAGCGGTAATAAACCGCACCTAAAAAAAAAATAAAAAGTAAAAAAAAATCCTCTGCAAGGTAATGTTCTAATGTGCTGGTATACATCGTATACTAGAACATTATGAAGGACTTACCCTAAAACAAAGCCCTCCAGCGGCACGCTGTCACCTCTGCAGAGGCTTCTATCTTCACCTGGTCTTCCTTCTGTGTTCACAAGCTCCGGCTGTCTAACTGGCCAGGCTGCGATGATTTCACTCCCACGCATGCATATGTGGGGCTCCCAGGCCACGGCACAGTACTCTGAAGGAATAACATGGGTATGCCGTTCCTTCAGAGCGCATGTGCCAGATTCCCAAAAAAAGCAAATATCTCCTAAACAGTGCACTTTTAGGAGAAATTCATTTTACCTACAGGAAAGCTTACCTATAGGTAATAGTATACAAAAAGAGTTTACGAACACTGTAATATGTCCTCTACAATCAAGTGTCTTCATTTTTCTTCTGTTTTCCAACAGATGGAGCACAAAACTCCCATGTCGCTTTTCTTGGGAACCATGAACACTGTGACCAGTGGGATTTAGCCCCGCGACCAATGGGATGAAGCCCCATGACCAACGGGATGAAGCCCCGTGACCTCTTTCTCTCGTGACCTCAGAATCCCTGTCCCCTCTTTCCTGATCACTGCAGTAAAAGTCACCGGCAACCAATAGACACATTCCATCCATCCATCCATCCTGCATTGCTGCTCTCCACACCTCCAGGTTGTACAAAGTCATGATTTCGATGTGCGATGTTTCATTTAATTAAATTTAGACACCTTTCCCACTGGCTGCTGTAGTTTTTCTTGAAGTTTGTGGTGAACAAACAAAATGCTATTCACTACAATAGACTTTGGCTGGTCATACATTATACAATTTCCTGTTCAATTTCCTTTAGATTTACCTTCAACTATATAGTGCAAGGGCCTGCCTAATGGGATACAATTGAAAGTGTTGTTTAGGCTTGACCTCCTATTATATGGTTTTTGGTAAATCTAAAGCAAAATTCTCAAAATTGTATAATGTATGGCCAGCCTTACTCGGTATCTAAACGATTGTTAACCGTTTCAATACCGTGTGATTTTACACCTTCCTGCCCAGGCCATTTTTCAGGTTTCAGCGCTCTCACACTTTGAATGGCAATTGCGAGGTCATACAACATTGTACCCAAAGTAAAATTTTATCATTTTCTTCACACAACTAGAGCTTTCTTTTGGTGGTATTTAATCACCGCTGGGGTTTTTATTTTTTGCTAAATTAACAAAAAAAGACCAAAAATTTTGAAAAAAAACCACATTTTTCTTTGTTTCTGTTATAAAAGTTTACAAATAAATAATTGTTCTTCATAAATTTAGGCCGAGATGTATTCTGCTACATGTCTTTGGTGAAAATAACCCAAATTAGGATGTATTATTTAGTTTGTAGGAAAGTTATAGAGTTCACAAACTATGGTATAGATCTGAATATTGATCAATCCTGAAGTACTGACAACCAATCTAATTTCTTGAGGTCCAAGAATGTCAGAATAGTATAGATCTCCCCAAATGACCCCTTTTTGCAGAGTAGACAGTCCGACATACTTCATAAGAGGCATGGCGAATTTTTTGAAGTTGTATTTTTTTGTCATAATTTTTCGGAAAATGAAAAAAATTAAAAAAATTATTTTCACTATTTTTTTTTTTACATACTGTCACCAGTGCAGTACAGCGTCATCATATAACTGGCATGGCGGTGAACAGGAACACTGACTGGTGACAGTATGAAAAAAAAATATATATATATATTTTTTTTATTATATTTAATTTTTTATTACATTTTTTTTTATTTTTTTTAACATTTTTTTTTCATATTTTACTATGACCAAAGTAGTACAATGTTACCATAGTAACATTGTACTACTTTGGGGAAGTGATCAGTATTTTTTTTTTTTTTTTTCTTTTACACAGTTTGCTTATAGCAAAGAATTACTTTGCTATAAGCAAGCATTTAGCTGAATGAAATCGATTCATTCAGCTTTTTTTTTTTTTTTTTTTTTTTTTTTGTGCCTAGCTGTGATTTGGTCACAGCTAATCACATGACATGTGCATGTGACCTGCTGTGACCATTCACAGCTAGGCACTAGTATACAATGGATGGCATCATGAATGAAGCCATCCATTGTATACAACGATCATGTGACCTGCTGTGATTGGTCACAGCAGGTCACATGGTACCAGCTACGGGAGCCGGTACTCGGATCTGTCATCGGCCGTGTCCGAGGTGCACGGCCGGTGACAGATCGCGCTGCTGCGCCGCTCTGCATTAGCACAAACTGCGCATGTGCGGGAGCACGCCAAATGGCGTGCACCCGGAATACAGGAGCGCATTTTAAGCCGCCAAACGGCCATTGGCTGGGCGGCTAATGGTTAATGATCATCCTGAATTTTGATGAAAATCTGTTAAACTGGTGTAGCAACTCCCCCTGGTTGGGAAAGGAAAAACCTCCAGCACAGGGGTGGGCTGATATTACCGCACGGTGGATTCATGGCCGCAGTGGAGGGTTGCAGTGACAAAAGGCACCTGGAACTTTAGTCTTTTCCAGTATTCTGCTCCGGCTCGAGGGAGAGGGATTAGGGCTTCAGATTCCTCCAACAACATGGGTTCCAGACTTTGCCACACTCCTGCTCCACCCGAGGGAGTACCAGGCTTCTCTGAGGGCAGACTCCATCTTCTTCCAGCAGGATTTCTTTCACTGGCTCTCCATCTTTGGTACTGCATGCTCCTTGACCTGGCAAGGCAGCTTGAGGATGCTCTTAGTCGTTGATGGGGGGGGGACATAAATATTCATAACCTAGTATTGCTGCAGCTTCCTTGTCTATTGCCCTAAATGCCAGTGATTCCTGAGAGCAGCAGCCAGGAACAGCAACACTGAGCAAAGGGGAGAGCCAAATGAGAGACTGTAAATCAACCCGGGTAAATTCCCACCTGGCAGAACTAAATTTATTAGTTACCCCTCTTCATGGCAGGATTGGGCAATTTTGAAATGAGCAAATCCATCATCAGAAAAATAATACATGAATAGAGTTAAGGATAAATTCACTTTAAAAAAAAAAAAATTAATAAATGCACATCTTTTTACAGGTAAAAAAAGTGCATTTATTTTATTTTTTTACTTGGAGCCTAGAAAGCATTTCACCTGCGATCAGCGGATACGGGTGCCATGCTGGCCTGTCGGTGTATCTGTCTGCTCGTACCTCGTATGCACACTGACAGGAATGGACCATGAACTACCACAGCGCTCAACAGTGCCATGGTAGTTCATTGAGAACTGTAAGCTGACAGCCGCAAAAGCTGTTGGGACTTGTAGTCAGTCAGGGGTGGACCGACAACTCATGGGGCCCCCCGGGCAATAGGGGATCAAGGGGCCCCTGTGTCCTCGCCCAAACTCAAACCACACCCAAAAAAGCCTATGAAAGGTGCCAGGGGCATCTCATGGGGCCCCCTACTGACCCCGGGCCCTCGGGCAGTGCCCGAGTGCTCGAATGGTCAGTCTGCCCGCTTGTAGTTTTCCATTCACAGAATTCTGTGAGTTAATGACGTGGCCAGGTGGGTAGAGCCCCAAATGGCCCGCTTTTTTAAAAAGTAACAGCTATTGGGAGGGAAAGATCCACTGCTTGCTGTCGCTAGATGCAGCAGTGTATGCATTGGGAACGTGTTACGTGTTCCCAAAGGCGAACATGTCCTTTTTAACCTTGAGTTGAACATGCATGCCAAAATGATCCGTGGATCCAGAGATGTTGGCAGCTGATGTCATATGCATCTTTGCATCCTTACTGTAGCTGTTCTATTCCCAGCCTTGCTATTGGCATTTTTATGTGGCTGACCAATAGAGTGGGGTAGGGTGAAACCCATGTTTTCCCATCCACACTTTTATTTTTTTTTGCACAATTTTTAATTCTTTTTCAGGCATTTTCGAGCTATAGTTCTATAATTGATATGGGCTGAAATTGCACACTCTCAGGTTTACTGTGAGGGTATGTACATCCAAATTGGAGGAAGGGTTTAGGAATTACAGCTCTTAAGAATAGCCATCCCCACCCACTTTTTTTCATGGGACCAAAACTAATTGGACAGTTGAATCAAATGCTGTTTCATGGCCAGGTGTGGGCTACTCCTTCATTATTTTGTCATTATTTAAGCATGTAAAAGGTCTGGAGTTGATTCTAAGTGTGGTATTTGCATTTGGAATCTATTGCTGCACACCTACATCATGTGTTCAAAGGAGCTGTCCATGCAAGTGAAACAGGCCATGGTAAAGATTCAAAAATGAAACAAATCCATTAGAGAGATAGCAACAACATTAGGAGTGGCCAAATCAACAGTTTGGTACATTCTGAGGAATGAAGACCGGGAGCTCAGTAACCTAAAAAAGGTATGGACGTCCACGGGAGACAATAGTAGTGGATGGTCGCAGGATCCTCTCTATGGTAAAGAAAAGACCCATTCACAACATCCAGACAAGTGAAGGGCACTCTCCAGGAAGTGGATGTATCATTGTCAAAGTCTACAATCAAGAGAAGATTTCACGAGAGCAAATACAGAGGATTCACCACAAG